GTGGATGCAGTGGATGAAAAACAAGCTGTTTCATCCTACCGAAAAAAATACCGTCTTTAAATCCACCTGTTGTAGGTTTTCGTTAAGGAACTCCGGATACCACGCAAGCGAGGGAAAGGAAGGGGAGATAGAGGGCAATGTCCATTCTTCACTAGTGTTTCATTGGAGACACATTTACGACCGAGTCACGGCTGCTCCCACCTTTTGGGGCAACACTGAACCTTCTTGTTAACAAAAATTCTGGAATGCTTTTCGATTAGAAGGAGTATTTGAGCAGATTTGTGATATTGACTAGCTTGCAGCATAATTTCACAATACAGTATGCCAGCTCTTCAATGTATGTCTTTTCAGAATCCTGTAAAAAACAACATCCGATAAAAAAGACTACTTAAGTATTCCTGTTGCTATTAATTTTCGATACCGTCGTAAATTCCAATACATTTTATAGAGAACCGAAGTACAAATATTTTTGTACTCATTTAGTAACAAATGTTTCAGACTTTTCATGAGATTTTTAAGACTACGCAGTGTCCATTCAAATAGCATGGTATTTGTATGCTTACTAGTGTCCCTCACAAAGTATACAACACAGTCGACATCCATTTTAGTGGCATGCATAAGTGCATGAACTGTCTGAAGGCATGTAGATTGTAGACTGAAAACCCTAAATGTAAACGCATAGGCAGATCAGATGGAAAATTATTTGGGAATAGGAATTTTTTAAACATTAATATATCCTTTATTTGTGAACAAAATTTCAAGAACTGGTTTCTTTACCGAATGAACACATCAGTAAATATTTTTCTTATATTTTCGATGAAATACATGTGAATTTATAAGGGCAAACAAATCCATATCAAAGATGTATACTATTGAAGCGACCCTTTTTTACCGAGTCTAACTTTTTCTAAACGGCTGAAAGGGCATACATTCAACAACCAGCACCCGGGCATTTCTTAAATACCTTGGGATTATGCTGCAAGATAGTCAATCTCATAGTTCAACTAAAGATATCCTCCCAAATCGACTACACTTTAACTTCACAGAAAGCAGTTCCGGGTATTACCGGGAATACATTACGCAATATGTAGAGCACAGGCACCACAAAATATGTGCGCGTATCTCTCCAATACAACTTTTAGATAGCTAGCTGTATTACCTAGTGACAGTTTTTTGAAAGTTAAACCGGTAAATTAATCTTAGAAACGGCTGCCAGCCAAGTATACCTGGTGGGCATGGCAGGCGAACATGCTTACTTTAGTTAACCCAATTGTGAAAAAACTCGCGGCATTCGGCGGGATTCGAACCCGCATAGGTCTTTTAGCCAAGCAACGCTCTACCCACTTGAGCTACGATGTCCTTCACACCGTGAGTTTAATCACACTTGGATCGAACATGCTTACCTTTAGTTTTTCGTAGGCCTCTTCCGCCCGTTCACTGGAGGAATAACTGAGAACAAGGCAACCGCTCTCATAGTAGATGGTCTCAATGGAGTCCCATTTCAATTGGTCGCCCAGTTTTTTTGCCAGCAGACGTTCGTAGGCGCACTCTGACAGGTTCTCCTTCAGGTTACCCACAAACAGATACACCGTGCCGAGGCGTGGCTCCAACTTGTAGCGCAGACAGAAGCGAGTCAGCTGCAGAGCACGACAGGACTCCTGGCGAACAGTGTTCAGCAGTTCCCAGGGTCGATCCTCGGGCTCAAGGATGCGTTCACTGACACAGAAGTTAAGGGAGACCATACTCAAGCGAAGGCGGCTTGGATCTGGGTCCTGAAAGAAGAGAAAGGGGGAGGCAGCAATCAATTTCACTTTCAGGCCGACAGTCATGATTTCCTCACATTAAGACCCCCCCGGGTTTATGGATCTTGTGCTTAGTTACATGGTAAACTGTATGCCCTACCAGTTGGTCTGGTCCATAATCATTTCAAACAACAGTCAAGGGAATTCAAACAATCAGTGCATGACAGTTGCCGCTCCTTAAGCGGATAAATTAGGCAAGTAATGTTCCTGTAACTGATGCCTGATTGTAAACATAGTTCTTCTCCATATGGAAACCACCATAGAAGAGCTTCTAATTGAGAAGAAGATTCGATCACTGGGACAATACTTTTATTCGCCTGACGTTTCGAAATCCTTCGCGGATTCTTCAGCAGAGACATGAGCAGAAAATAGTAGCAGTAGTAGTACTCGTTTCTGCCACTATTTTTAGAGCTTTTAATGTATACTGGAGGATTCAAAGTGAAGGAGGTACCACTAGAGTTCACTTCAATTCTGCGGGCAACATTTTTATCGGTATTACATTGAGGAGGGAGTAGGAAAAATAAAGATAATGGATACCGGCGTATGCCTCTCTGGTGGGCGACGCTCACAATTACGGACGGTAAAAGCCGCGGTATTAGCCCCCTCCTCCTCCTATCTCCGACCTGACTCGAAAACACAGAGGAGGGCACGCGCGTAACCTCATAGTCTGCAGCTTAGCGATCAGAATGGTCAAAGCTACCTGGCAGCGAAAAGAAAAAAATGACGAAAACGGCAAATGGGGGTCATTAACAGCCATGCTCGGCGGTGTACCGCCGC